CCTGTATTATTGGGACATTATGCTGTATATCAGAAATAGACACATTGTAAACGACTATACTTCAATTTAAAAAAAGAAAAAGAAAGAAAGAAAATTCATCTGCTGAGAATTTAACAAAGTCAGCAAAACTGAAAAAGGATTTAGGAAGCTATACATACCATTAACCACCGGGCATTCATCATCTTTGGGATCCTGAAGGCGTGAAAGAGCAAGAACTGCCTGTATCCTTACATTTGGAATTTTATCTTTCAATCTAATAAGCATGGCTTCATTAATTTCATCAAACAAATCATCATCAATCTGGGCATTTTCTGGCATATTTCCCAAGAGCTTGTTTATGAGCTGGCACACTCTAAATCTAACTGCATTGCTGTTTGCCTCATGAGACTAAAACACAAACAAATCAAAATTATTCCAAGTCACATAATATTACTAAATAATGACATAACATTTGAATTCTGTATGTTTAGGATTTAAGAAGTTACAGTTCATTCCTTGCAGAGAAACTGTTACCTTGATCCATATGTATACTACATACACATAATACAAAATCTCAAAACATACACAGTCCAAAGTAGTTGCTAAATTACAAGAGCGTATTCCTCTTTTCAGGAATTCTTACTTTACTTCTAAAATAGAGAACTCATTTAAAACAAATGTATGTGAGAACTGGTTTAGAATGGTCATTAAAAATTTAATGCTGGAGTTATTTTAAAAGTTCACCTTTCAATCTTAATGACAGTTCTAATATTTCCTACAAAAAGAAGATCCATTCAGACATTTTCTCAATTACCAGATATTTCATTCTCTAAAATATACAAACTCCTATGGCTCTTTTAAAATAGTAAAATTGTCTACAATATTTCCCCAAAGTTCTAGTTTTCATATACCTTTAACAGAAAAGTGAACAAAAAATTTAAAATGCCACCATCTTTCTCTTCCTCATCATCTTCCATATCTGACTGGTGAAATGAGGTAACAAACTTGGCTGCAAATTCTATTACTCTCTCCACAGCTGGTTCTCGTTTATAGACCACCATAGCATATTTAAGGTAATGAACAAACTCCTCGTGAAAATCTGTTTTGTCATGCATCTGAAAGACAAAAACTCTTCACAAACTGCACACACAAAATCCTTTTTTGCTCAGCTTTACCAGAGTTAAGACGGTAGAAACACCAGCCATAACTTAAACAAACCAAAATCATTATTTAGTAAACTCTCAGTTATCCATATCATCACAAGAAAAATTAATTTGCACGAATTTCTCTCCATAGAAATTTACTATTCCCAGGGAGTTAACAAACCTGAATTTTGACAGTGAAAAGACTCCTCTGATTTTTTTCAATATCCTTGAATTCTCAATACAATGCCTTGGTATCAATCTAGTAAAAATCTAATTCTTCATTAACAACCCTAAATCAACAATGGCTTTAATATTTTATCATATTTACCCTTAATGTTACACAGCAATTTCCTTTTGACCAACTTTCACATCCTATCTCATATCCTCAAGCCCTGTTACACTGACTTACAATTTTTCTTGGACTTCAAGATAATTTATTTTCCTGAAATTCATTGTCCTACTCTTCTCAAGGCTCCCATTCAAAACGAAACAGTATTTACATTACTAGAGAGGAATCAGGTCCTAATGATTAATTTGCTTATTGGTGACTGATTCAATTAAACCGTGGGGCGAGGTTAGTTATTTGACGTGGGCGGTGACCCGAGGGAGAAACTATCGCCCAGCCACTGGGCTCAGGGTCCACCCTGCGGCCCTGCACTAGGCGCCGGTCTCCATCCCAATTCACCGCCCGACAGAGAATTAACGGTCCGTGCCGGAGGCCGCCAGGGAGAAGGGGGTGCCCGGGAGACCTCGGGCAAGTTGCCAGATCTCTCCGAACCGGGTCAGGAAGGTTACATAGCTTGTAGTTCTGGTGCGTGGAGCCCAGAGGGTCAAGGGAAGCCGCCGGGAGAGGCCGAGCCAGGAACCGGCGGCGGCGGCGGAGGTCCGGCACCGCGCTTACCGAGCCGTAGGTGCGGCTGAGCGCCACCACCAGCTTCGCCTGGTTCTGGTGTGGCTGCTGCGCCAGCTGGAAGGCCTCCTTAATCGACAACAGTTTCTTTTCCGCCCCCATGGCGCCGGGACCCTGGCGGGATGAAGCCTATCCGCGCTCGGCTGCAGCAGGCCCGACTGACCACCGTCAGAATCTCCACAAAGACGCTTCACAATCCGTTCAGCGGGCAGCCGAGGGCGTGGCTACCGCCAGAGCGTTCAAATAACTCCCGCGGGAGAAGGAAATACCGCGAGACTGCCGTGAGAGCGTAGAAAGACGAGATGGAGCCACCCTCGTCAACATCGCCGTTTCGACGCATGCGCTTAGGGTCTTTTAAACGGCTTTCCGGGTGGGAAGTGGCATTTCTAGGAGAAGGGGGGCGTTGGCTCCCCCGGAAGTGGTGTCGGCAAAGGGTGCGAGGCCGACTGCGGTCCTACTGTTGGAACGGAGCTGGTGCCGCGAGGCCTGGCCAGGTCTTGCGGCTGGGTGTGAGGCGAGGAAGAAGAAAGGATCCTCCATGGGTGAGAACAGGGAATCTGCCGAGGGGAAGAATCCCTGCTCCCGCTGAAGGGGAGGAGGGGTTCGTTCGGAGATGCATCGGGAAGGGAAAGATAGGGCGCGCTGCAGTGCTGGGCAGCGGCCCGGCTTCTACTGATGAGGGGGAAGTTCCCGGGTCGGCAGAGGGGGCGTTCTCAGGTCTCCACATGGAGGCTGGCCACTGGCTTTTTAAGCCTTGGATCCGCGGTTGCTGCAGGGTCTACAGACGAGGGAGGCAGTCTGGGAACCGCCGCGAAGAGAGGCACGAGTTAATTTTGATACAGTTTGTTCTAGATGTACCAGCTTTCGAAGCCTAGTTTACAAAAGTGCATAACGACAGCGTTTTCAACAAAGAACATAGAATGCTACAAGGTTTAGAGTAGTGGTCGGGATAAATTCGGAGTGCCTTCCAGCAGGAACTAAATCTTTAAACTTTGTTTAATGAAATTATACCATACAAAAACCAACATCTCAATACTCTGAGCCAGCTAAAGAAATAGATTATAAAGCCATCTATATGCCTCTTTTTCCTATTGAACTACCTTCCCTCCCAGCAGTAATGGATTTTCTGAATTTACTGTTAACTTTTATGTGTTAACGACATGAATAGATCTCTGAATAAGTGTATTATTGTTTTCATGTTCCAACATTATATAAATAATCATGTATACTACTTGCTTTTTTCAGTAAGTTATTATTTTTGAGATTTATTCATATTGATACTTTTATAGCAATAACTCAACACCTTATGGACCCTTTGTTGAGGAAAAATTAATCAATGATCGATCTAAGAAAGAAATGGAGAATTTTAGTCAAGCCAACCTGAGGCTGATAACCTGGGAGGTAGTCTTTCAGGAAGCTCTGAGCTGACTTTTAGCCGTCTAAGCACAGTTACATACATTTTTGAGACAAAGAGTTAATGCTTCAAATGATGCATTGCTGACTGTACACAATCCACATCTACAAATACAAAGGGCTTAGTGGGTCATGGGTCATGTGACCTCTTGCAATATTAAGAAGGAAGGTTATCTCCTGACGAGGTCTAGTTAATGCAGATACACAACACACACTAAAGAGGAGAGAGGAGATCCAAAGAGGCAGAGAAGAATTTTATGTTTAAATTTTTCTTGTCCCGCCATGAAATACGAATTTTATTTCATCACCATATATGCCAGAGGCTGTTTTAAGCACTTTACCCTACTTAATCCTTACAAACAAAGCCTGTAAGGTAATGTCTTTCTCCTTTTAAGAAGAGGAAACAGAGATACAGCTAGGTTTCTTTAGTATTCTGTTGTATTAATACACCATAATTTATTTGTCCACTCTCTTGCTTCATAGTCCTAATTCCTGAAACATTATAGATATTCAAATGCTAGTTAAAATAAAAAATATGGTAGCAGTTGGGTTGCCCATAATTTCAAAATTATCAAGATATCTAATTTCTGAAAAGGCAAGCAGGGTGGATGTTTTAGGTTAATCACCTAGAGGGAAAGCATAGAGGTTTAAGAATGCGTGGAATATACTGATAATGTTTATAATCTCACCATAGCTAAAAATATAGAATGTCTAGACATTCTGTGATGAAAGAAACCTAGAAAGGGCATTAATTTCTTAACCAAGTATATTTGAAATATCATTTTAACAGGTAATCAACATAAATTATTGATGCGATCATTTACATTATTTTTTTCCCTACTAAGTCTTTGAAATTGGATGTTATTTTATACTAGCCACATTTCAGGTGCTCAGTAGATACATGGGGCTAGTGGCTACAGTATTGGATAGTATAGAACTGTTCTTACTTTGGAAACGACTGTATGTTCCTTTTGTTTTTCATGTAAAATCAATTGGTGAACTAAAAATTAGAATAAACTAATATTTGGAGGCATTTTCTTACTTTGTGGCCCTTAATTGCTCAGCTCTGCGCTTTGGGTGCCTGCTACCTTTGTTGCTTTGTTTAACTCAAATTTCTAACAATATTATTTCCTTTACCATATTTTATTTGTCTGTCTCACCACAACAGGTGACTTAATACCATTTTGTCAGTTACTGAAAGATGAGGCATCTGGCCACCAGAGGTCAGCCTAACTATGTTTTTACTAGCTTTGGAGTGAGGAGGATTAACAACATGTAAAGATACTCGATTACAAAAACGGGAATCTTTGAAACGGAAGAAACTATTTGTAAACCGTATATCCCATAAGGGGTTAATATAAAGTATATATAAGGATCCATACAATTCAATAGCAAAAAAAAAAAACCCAAATAACCCAATTAAAAAATGAGCAAACGGCCTGAATAGATGTTTTTCCAAAAAATGCATGCAGATGGCCAACAGGTATATGAAAAGATGCTCAACATCACTAATCCTCAAGGAAATTCACATCAAAACCACATTAAGGTATCACTTCACACCTATGAGGATGACTGTTATCAAAAAGTCAAAAGATAACAAGTGTTGGTGAGGATGTTGAGAAAAGAGGGCCCTTATACATGTTAGTGGGAAACAGCATGGAGGTTCCTTAAAAAGCAAAAATAGAACTGTCATATGGTCCAACAATCCCACTTTTTGGTATATATTCAAAGGAAATAAGATCACTGTTTCAGATATATCTGTGTTCCCATGTTTATTGCAGCATTATTCACAGTGGCCAAAATACAGAAATTATCTAAGTGTCCATCAATGAACTAATGGTTAAAGAAGACATGATATTTATATATACACACAATTCAGTTTTTAAAAAGAAGGAACTCCTGCAATTTCCAACAACATAAGTCAATCTGGAGGACATTATGCTAAGTGAAATACACTAGGTACAGAAAGACAAATGCTGTGTGATCCTACCTATATGTGGAATCTTAAAACGTTGAACTCATAGTAACAAAGAGTAGAATGGGAAATATCAGTGGCTGGAGAATGGGGGAAATAGGCAGATGTTTGTCAAAGCATACAGACTTTCTGGAGACCTAATGTACATCATGATGACTATAGTTAATAATTATGTATACTTGAAATTTGCTGAGGTTAGGTCTCAAGTGTTCTCACCATGTGCAAAAGAAAATATCTGTGAGGTGATGGATATGTTAATTGGCTTGATTGTAGTAATCATATCACAGTGAATACATAATCAAAACATCACATTGTACATGTTAAATATATGCAATTTGTCAATCCTACCTCAATAAAACTGGTTTTTTAAAAAAAAGACACTGTATTAAACCCACTGCCTTTAGCTTCCTGTGTCTTGACTTTTCTTTCAGTGCTATGGGGGAAAAGAACACATAGTAGCAACTGTGAGAATCAGTCTCTTCCTGTCCTTGGTAAACTTAGTTGAAGAAATGACAAAACTAAAGAATTTGTATAGTAAGGCTCTTTAGTTCTGAAATTACAGAAGAATCATTCTTTCAAGGTAAATTATACACGGGAGTATATAAATAAGTGATTAATTCAGTTTTGATATGAGGATATGATGCACATGGAATGTTAAAGAGAAATGGTGATGGATTCACTCTAGAATTTACATATGCCTTCAAAGAGACTTTTTCTTATTTCTGCTAAAAAAAAAAAAAGTAGAGTAAGCCTTTAAAGAATGCTTTGAGTAGCACAATAATGGAAATACAGCCAGTTAATCTTGCAAATGGAATCTGGTTGAAATGAAATTAGTGAAAATATAAGAGGACAGAAGAATTAAAAGCTAACACCTTGTCTCAATAAAAAACTTACGATACGTTTTCAGTTTTCTTTTTGCTTTCAGGTTGAACTAGATAATATTATAAACTTTTGAAAGTATTTGCATTTGTGTTCTTAAAGATGAAGTTATAAGCAATTCCCTTTATATTGCTTTAGTAGCATTATCTTTGTTGATCCTGTTTTTAAAAATTGTTTCATTTGTCTTTATACAACATACTACCAAATCACCTAAATATAATTTGAGAATTTTTGTCTCCCTAGAACAAAAGTAAAACACGCTTGTGTAGTTACTTACAGCAGGCCTTCATCATTCTCTTAATTTTTTCAAAACATTGTGCTAATCCCATAATAAGTGCCAGAAACTGCTGAGAACTGAATAAGATAAAAGAATGAGTAGAAGCCTGAGAAATATTCTTTGGAAAAATATTACTGACATGAAGCCCTATCATATGACATCAGTGTGTATTTGAAACTAAAGATGTTTACTGACTTTCATTTTGGAAATCATTTCTGCAGCATGGCGTAAGTGGGAAGTTGGTATTTATTTTTGCTTTTTTCGTTTAGACCTATGCCTTTAGTTTATCCATATTGCTATGTATACTTCTAATGTCCTTTTACCACATATTGCCTCTGTACTCTTCCAGTGATTGAAACTTAGAATGCTTCTAGTTCTTTACCATCAAAGATGAAACTTCAGGATACATATTGGTCTTATGGAGAATTTCTCTGTTACATATATACATACATACATATAGATAGATAGATAGATAGACCCAAGAGTAGGATTGCTGGATCGCGAGATGTGCAAATAGTTAGTTTGGCTAAGTAGTGCTGTTAGATTGCTCTTCAGAAAGGTTACCCCAGTGTTATAATCCCACCAGCATTGCTGGTTCCTAGAGTTCCTTTAGTCCCCTCACTAATAGTTGTCATTGTCCAGCTTTCTAGTTTTTACCAAAATAGTAAATCAGTGTGGTATCTCTTTACTCATATAGTTAATGGCCTATGGATTTTCTTTCCCTAAAATTGGGTATTTTTGTCCTTTGCCCATTTCTTTATTGAGATTGCTACCATTTTTGTTGTTGATTTGTAGTTAACTTTGTTCTCAGTGTCTTCAGTTCAATCCAGAAATGGTTGACTTTGTTGTGATTGAATTCATCATATTTTGGTCTTGTGCTTTATGTTTTTGTTTTTGTTTTTTTAATTTAAGAAGTCCTTCCCTGGCCCTAGGTCACAAAGATATTCTCCTGAATTACAGTCTATTAACTATATAGTTTTACCATTCTTATTTGGGTCTTTAATCCGTCATGAGTCCTCCTTTGTATGTGGCATTATACAGATATACAGTTTTATTTTTTTTCATATGAGCCAGTTTTACCAATATTATGTACTAAATACGTTCATTCCCCCTTGATTTATGTGCTAACTTTATTGTATACTTCATTCTAAAATTGTCTGTGGCTCTGTTTCTGAGCTTTGTTCCATTGTACTGTTTGTTCTTAAACACTAATTCCACACTATTTTAATTTCTGTAACTTCTGTAATATGAGTTAATATCTTGTACGCCAAGAACCCCCTTTACTCTTCTGTTTAAATAATTGTTTTAGTTATATGTGGAATTTTATTCTTAACATACTGGGATTGTATAAATTAATTTAGGAAAAAGTTATCTTTATAATATTAATTTGTTCCATCCAAAAGCATGGAATGTCTATTTTAAATCATGTGTTCTTGATTAGAATTTTACAGTCTTCTTCATAGACATCTTACATATTATTAATTAGTTCTTAAATCCTTTACAGGTTTGATGTGATTTTTTTTTCTTCCTCTATTGTAAATGTGATTTATGTAATACATTTTATGCTTGCTATTGCTGGTTTAGAAGTTAAGAGTGCCTGGGGGTCAAATCCTGACCCTTATCACTGGATAGGTAGCTTAAACCTCATGTATAAAATGGGAACAATGAAAATGCCTTTCTTAAAGGATTGTTAGGAGAATTTTAAGTGAGTTAACATTTGTGCAGTTCCTAGAATAGTACCTGGCAAAAGTAAGTGCCATATAAAAACTTAATGAATATTCATAGGTTAGTCTCAGATCCAGGACCTTTGTTGAGCTCTTTTATTAGCTCTAATAGTTTATATGTTTTTTTTAAATATTAGATGACCATATCATCTGTAAATCAGTAGTTTTATCTCTTCTAGTTTTTACACTGTCTTTTTTGTTTTAAGGGATTATATCTAAAGGTTCTCATTTAGGATAATATTTCCTGAAAGTTTTTGCTAGATAATTTTTACCGAATTGAGAAAGTAATTTTCTCTCCCTAGTTTGGTAAGAGTGTTTTGTATTTTAAGGCATGGATAGGTGTTGATCAAATACTAAGAAAGGTTAAATATCCACAGTTGATAAAATTATCTGATTTTTTCACTTTATTTTGTTACTGTGGTGACTTATATTTATACATTTTATGAAGTTGAGGTAGTCTTACTTTCCTAGGATAAGCTCTACATGATATAATAAGATTCTTTTTTCTTTAATGCATTATTAGATTTTGTTAGGTAATATTTAACATTTTTGCAAGTGAAATGAGCCTATACCTTTGCTATTTGCTTCATCTCTAGATTTGGAATTAATGTTTTATTATCTTCCCAAAAAGAGCTAATAGTTTTATGCTTTTTTTTTCTGGAATAGTTTATATAAAATATGTATTAATTTCCTTGGAAGTTCAGTGGAACTCACTTATAAAACCATTTGCACTTGTTTTTCATAGGAGGTTGTTACCTTTCCAGTTTCCTTAATACTTTCTTGTTTTATTCAAGTTATTTCTTCCTGTACAAATTTTTGTATTTTATATTCTAGAATTTAGCCATTTAATCTAGATATTCACATTTTATTTATATATTTTAAATGTATTTTTAAGATATATATTTATTATATATGAGATATATATATATTTATTATTTTTTAATCTCTTTGGGGATATTTTTAAATCTCTTTTTTGATAAGTCTCACAAGTTTTGTTTTTCTTATTCATATTTTCAGAAAACCATCTTTCAGTTTTATCAATCTATTCTTTTATATACTACTTAACTTCTGCCTTTATTATTTCCTTTCTGCTTATTTTACTGTTACTCTTTTTCATTATTTTGAATTAAATAGTTAACTTGTGGATATTTAAGCTTCTTTGTTTCCTGATCAATGTATTCAAAGATATAAATTTCTTCTACATACTGGTTTGGCCACGCCCCACAAATTTTTCCTTGTAAGGTTATATTATTATTCAGTTTTAATAGTTAATATCTTTTATGATTTCCATTTTGTTAACCCATGAGTTATTTAATTTCTATCCCAACATAGGATTCCTTTTAAAAACTTTTTATTTTAACCTTTTTTTTTAATTGAAGTATAGTCAGTTTACAATGTTGTGTCAGTTAACATAGGATTACTTTTAACTAACTTTTGATACCTACTTTTATTGCATTATGGTAAGAGATTTTAGTCTGAATGAAATTGACCCTTTTAATCTTAAAATACCTTACAACCTAATGCATGAACTATTTGTGCATGTGTGTTTATATGTCTGTACTCAAATATCTATTCTGTTTGGTATAGAGTTCTGTAAAATTAAATGATACCTAAAATATATTAATATTTTAACTTTTTCAGAATGCTTATATCTCTGCTTATATTCCCCCCTCAGTTCTGTCAGTTGTTACTTGAGAAATTTTGGGGATTTGCTTTCAGGTTTATAGCGGTTTATGATGAGTACATCACTTTTATTCTTTTCCTTTTACCAGTATTATTATCCATTTTTGTCCCTTATATTTTTTGACTTGAAATCTCTTTTGTTGGATGTCAAGATTGCTATCCCAGCTTTATTCTGGTCCACAGTTGCGTTGTATCTTTTTTCACCTTTTAATTTTTGACATTTCCATGTCTTTTTGCTGTAAAATATCTTTAGTTAGCAGCATATTATTGAATCTTGTTCTGTTAATCCAGTTTGAGTACCTACCTTTTAATTGTGAGTTTAACATGTTTACATTCATTGTAATTCCTGCTATATTAAGATCTGCACCTGCCATCTTCTCTCATATCTGTAGAGTATGGTCATAGGACCATAGCCTCTGGGCTCCCAGCAAGAGTCCTAACATCTAGCAGCTTTACAACGTGGACAGGTCCCCTAAAACTAATCCCAGCAAGCACATCTAAGGGTAAAGAATATACCTTGTATAGCTCCCTATTTGGAGTTTGGGCATAAGGGATCTGCTTTTGCAGGAGTAATTTTCCAAGCTAGAACTGCATAATCCAAAACAAACTGGCCCAGATATGTACCAGCAAAGGATTAAAGTGGCCCCACGCCCTCTTTTTCCAATGTTGTGTTGGTAGGAGCCATTCCCAGTAGAAAAATCTGCCTGAGCCTATGTGCTACAGATGGGAAAGCCAACAAGGCTTCTTGTTTAGTATCTGTGTCCTTGGATACTTTATTAAGTTAGATGGATAATAATGTTACCCAGTGCATTCAGGCTTTAATATCATGTCTCTAGTCTTCTCATTCACAGGTTAAGGCTACCTTTCCAGATAGTCCAACAACTAAGTCACCAGTTTCCTAAGGCATTTGCACCACCTATGGAAAACATCGGATCCGTGCATACCAGACAGATCCTTGGCAACTCATCCCACCGTCCCCCTGCACAAAAGTTGCTGCACCAGCGGACAAAGAAGGCGACCACTGAGTTTCTTTCTATTACCAACTAGATATAATATCCCTGCCAACAAAACAGAGCACACAAAGTGTCTCTTCATAATATCGCAACCAATTGAGACCACGCTAAGAAAATCAGCTTGCCTAGAAGAGGACCCCTTCTCTTAGGTAGCCAGGATTTGAAGGGAGAGACTCTGACCTGTGCCACTGGTAAGTGACTAACTTTTACACACTGAACTGGTCCTGAGAACTGAGATATCTTCTTTGTAAGTGAAGAATTAACAACATAATCTTGAAGAACTGCACAGTGGTGTGAGCCAGAGGCATACTGTGTGTGTGTGATGGACTGAGAAACAGACAAATGAATCTTATTGAAAGGATGTCTCATCTTTTGTTTCTATTTTCCAGTGTTAGTGTTGTGCTGGCTTAGATTGTTACCTTTTTCTGGTACCTTTTTTTCTTACTGTTTTTCTATTCTAATGGGTCCTAGAAATCCCTCTCCTGACCCCTTATCAGAATCAGAGAGTGAGGAAGAAGAAAATGCTAACTACCTAAATGAGAGCTCTGGGGAAGAGTGGGATTCCTCTGAAGAAGAGGACCCTGTGGTGCCCAACCTAACACCTCTTGAGAGTCTTGCCTGGCAGGTTAAGTGCCTTTTAAAATATTCTACAACTTGGAAACCTTTAAATCCTAATTCCTGGTTATATCATGCTAAACTCTTGGATGCCAGCACACCAGTGCACATACTTCGAGAGATAGGTCTAAGACTCTCCCATTGCTCCCATTGCGTACCCAAACTGGAACCAATTCCTGAATGGCCTCCTCTGGCTTCTTGTGGAGTCCCGCCTTTTCAAAAGCCCCTTACAAGTCCCAGCCGGCTTTCTAGAGATCATGCCACTCTAAACGGAGCCCTGCAGTTTGCCACCAAACAGTTAAGCCGAACACTGAGTAGAGCCACTCCCATTCCTGAATACCTAAAACAAGTTCCCAACTCATGTGTCTCTGGTTGCTGCTGTGGCTGGTTAACTAAAACAGTTAAGGAAACAACCCGCACTGAACCCATCAACACTACTTACTCCTACACTGACTTCCAAAAGGCAGTTAACAAACTCCTGACTGCATCACTATAAAGACCCACCATTCCTTCTCATGTCTGTCATGTTGCTGCCTGAGAAAGGAATACAGTTACACAGCCTGCAGTTGAGAAACTAATGTCTTCTCAACCAAACTGTGCCCTGTCTCGCAAGCTGAAGTACGATCCAGTACTGAATATATACCTGAGTCTCGTGACTCAGCTACAGAAAATGTGCGTTGTGAGCATTCCGTTTGAAAGACCCTGTGGATAAGATGAGGACTTCCATAGAGAAATAGTCAAGAGGGACATTATTACAAAAGACAAGTTGACTATTCTCCACACAATTCTCAACCCAGTTTACTCTGCCTAATGGACTAACTAGACACCTAATTATTAATGGGAAGGAAAGGTAGGCCACTACACTTTTTGTTACCCAACCTTCAGAATAGCCATTGTGGAAGTGGGAAGTTAGGTACTCCCAATGACACCCTTCTGAGAGTACTTTTCTCTGATACTCATTTCTGGGGAGATAGTTGAATTAAATTGAATAACTAGACAAAAGACAATGGTGGGAATATGGATTTGTCTCCCAGCTTTTATACTGAGAGGCCTACGTATGGCGCCCCCTAGGGATTCCAACTTTGTGAGGGAGTGCGGTGCTGTGGTAGTAGCCTGCACTGCCCCAGGCCTGTTACGGTGCCTGCAATTACAGCATGAACATTTTATGTCATAGGCTCTAGCTAAACTGGTTTATAAGATCATACCTGCGGATTAAACAGACACCTGCTTTGTAGGGAATATATTTCCTGCTTGTTGGCACCCAGACTTTAGTCAAGAGCAAATAAAACACATACCAAAAGACCAATGGGAAAGGATTAAGAGCATTTATGCTTTCAGTATTAACTGTTAGTGGATTAAAGCATTTAATCTGTATGATGTTTCCTGGAGCAGTACTTTATGCACTTTCCGTATCCGTTGCAAACTTCAGGAACCCTTCTAACTTTAAAGAACCTTACTGCAGAAATCTCAGCCTAATACAATCTGAAGTTAAAGAGTTTTTTTAGCATCATTGCTTTTCTATATCTAGCTTTTTTTTTTTCTGGCTGAATAGAAAGTGTATGTAACCTTGTAAATGAGTCTTGCTGTGTTTATTTAGATGAATCAAAACATAGAAATCAACATACATACAATGCATGAGACCAGTCTTTTCACTCACCTGCTATAAAGAGTGAAACCTGTGTGTGATCCTAGTTGACTGGACGTCTAAAGGGAATCATAAAATAGATTGTTAAAGATATATCATATATCCCCTTCCTTATTTTAGTTTTGCTTTCTCCTGTTCTCCATAATTAAGTGCTGTATACAAT